TTTAGCCAACTCACATCACCGGCTACCCCAGGCGCTGAACCGACTGCTCTTCACACCAAACACAAGTCTAGTTTTTCAAAAATCCAAGGCGACACACTCAACCTGTCTTTCCACAAGAGTGTCAAACCAGAAACTGAATGTTCCCCAACTGGCATTTAATTGTTTTTCTTGTTCTGACAACCTTCCCTGAATTCCATACATGTGGCGGTGAGCTGGGTGCTGTCCGTGGCCTGTAGAGGGGACCCTCAGGGCTCTGGGGGTTCCCCTGGGGCTGAGACACAAGGGCAACAGGGTCGCAGGGTTTTCTCCTGAAGGCCAGCACCCCCAATGCACCCCATCTTCACAGGATCTTCCCCGAGTCCCTGCGCTGGCTGATGGCGACCCACCAGTTTGAGCCGGCCAAGAAGCTGATCCTCCACTTCACCAAGAAGAACTGCATGGACCCAGAGAGCGACATCAAAGGCGTCCTGCCAGGTGGGTGCCCGTCCCCACGGCCAGGAGGCGCCACCCGTCCTGGGCCAGAGTCCACGGGGCAGGCCTGGGCGCCCTCCTTGCCTGAGCACAGCGTTCAAAGAACCCTGCTGTGGCGTCTCGTGGGATCACTGTGGTGGGAACGCGCTGTGTTTGGGGGTTCAGGCCCCTAGGACCTGGGGGTGTCAGGAGCAGTGCCGTCGCTGGAGGCTTGGAGGCGGGCCACCCAGAGCATCCCTGGGAGTTGTGAAAAACCCAGAGCCCTGGGCCTGAGAGCTGGTGTCTCTTGCAAGGCTAGAGGGGATTCCTCTGCTGCCCAGCTGCCCCCACCCGGCCTCGACACCCGGGCGCCGTGTGCAGGCCAGGTCTGGAACTCACCTGACAGAAGGTTCTAGCACCTGCGTGGGCCAGGCGCGTTTCTAGAAGAGAGGAGAGCTGGCCAAGCCTTGCTCTCGTGGGCGTGTGGATCATAAAGACCTCAGGAAGGATGCATGGGAGAAAACCCTGCAAGGGAAGGGGAGGGGGTGCCCTGGGTGGCAGGCGGGCAGGGGAGTGCCCTGGGGCCTGCGTCCAGTGCCAGGCAGGGACACGGAGGAAATGGATTCAGGAGCTGCGTGCTGTGTGCCCCCAGCAGTCACGGAAGGACTGACTGGGGGACCTGGGGGTCGTGTCTGGGGGGCTCCCCAGAGGCGGGCGCCCTGTACCTGAGAGGTGGGGACAGCAGGCCCCTGAGCAGAGTGGCCTGAGTCACCGCCCTCTGTGCCCAGGGGGTGATGACAGGTGAGACCTGGTGCATACCTGTTCGTCCACCGGCATTTGTTAGCCCTCAGCTCTCCCCACGTCTTCATGACGGCCCAGGGGGTTAGCGCCGCTCGCGGGCGAGGAAGCAGAGGCCCGGAGAGGCTCAGTGGCTTGACGGGGGTGGCGCAGAGTCCACGGGGCAGGCTCGGGGGGCTCCGAGCTGGGGCTGGAGCCCAGCAGACGGGTCTAGGGGGACAGCTCCGGGAGAGGGCGGGGTGCTGGGTGCACCGGCCTCTGGGCCTGCTTCTCCCCGGGCTCCCCAGCCCCCCTCCCGCCTTCTCCGGGGGGCCCCTTTGCTGGCAAGTTGCTGCTCATAAGTCTCAGCAGATAATTCGCTCCTGGCATTTCCCTAATTAAATCACCACACTCCACTTCATTCGAAGTAAAATATTGTCTGGGATAGTTGTTTTCTCCATCCAAATTATACTGATTCATTTCCTTCCTATTTTTGGCAAGTGGTGTTCTCTCTCCCTCCCCTCCTTCCTCGAGGTCCTCTGGTGCTTGTGTCTCTTTGGTGCCCCAGCCGGGGGTGGGGTTGGGCCCACAGCCTGGGGGGACTTCTCCCCCAGGGGTTAGACACCCACCCCCATGGGCACCGGACAGCACTCACACCAGCCCCTGGGCCCGCACCCCCACACCAGCGGGTGAGGACCCCACACAGCAAGAGGGGAGCAGTCCCAGCAACAGATGGGAAGCGGAGGCGAAGAGCAGGGGGGCCCAGAGAACGAAGTTGTCATCCCGCCAGTCCATGGCCCCTCTTGCTGCACCCCCGGGTAGAACGGGGTGCCCCGGCGAGACAGGGCCCTCCAGCTGTGACCTGAGAGAGGGACCGAACTGCCAGGGAGCAGGGACGGGGCTGCAGGGCGGCACAGGAGCTGCCTGGTTCCCACACAGGTGGCCCTGCTGGGGCTTGGGGGTGACATAATTCAAA